CGATGAGCTTTGTAAAAATCGACGCGTTTCAGAAAGGCGGGGCATAGAGGAGAAACAATAATGTACAGTATGTGGAAAATGTTTTTTGAACCTTAAACCGCATAAACACATTTCATTACACCAAATACACAAAATAATGTTCTTTTTTAGCAACGCTTTAATAAAATAGTTGATCTCACTATTTGTTGGACAACTAGCTGACCATGTTACCTATTGGTTATTAGCATCTTTTGTATGACATATACAGCTATAGAGTCCATCAGTGTTTATGTTCTAGGGTCGTCTATGACCTTTTGGTTTGATGCAAATGCAAAAGTACACATTTTTATGTATAAACCAGTATTAACCTCTCCACTCCCATGAGCGTTAGTTAGCAATGATGTTGTGTCAGTGACATGAATCTGGAACAAACAGGCAAGGTTCCTGTGCCAGGCTAAGTCACATATACTGTGGTGACAACTTGTGGTCCTGCTTTCAGGTGGAACAGTCCAAAGTGCTGATAAAGGAGGGGGGCGTCCAGCTCACTCTGACCATCGTAGACACACCAGGCTTTGGAGATGCAGTGGACAACAGCAACTGGTGAGTTTAAGAGTTTTGGGGGCGTTTCAGATTCTTGGATAGGCAAATAACCTCCATTATAGTCAAAAGGTAAAATCATGTTGGGTGTTATATATGATGGTTTAAATCTGCTTTTACAGACTGTGATGCAATGACTTCTCAGTCTTTGCATATGACTTTGCCTTTCATTTCTCCTCCTCCCCTTTCTTTCAGCTGGCAGCCCGTCATCAACTACATCGACAGTAAGTTTGAAGACTTCCTGAATGCTGAATCCCGCGTAAACAGGAGGCAGATGCCTGACAACAGGGTGCACTGCTGCTTGTACTTCATCGCCCCCTCTGGTCACGGGTAGGTACTTCACCCTCTACAAACGAATCCTGGCATAAATTAACCAGCTTAAAATAGAAGCACCACACACACACGTCCTGACTTACACATTTTGCACTTTGTTCAGGAGTGGGATGATGTTTGGAATTTTCTACATGAATACTGTACAATGAAGGCATCAGTGCATTGATTTAAATGCATTAGTGGGTGAAATGGAGAGACAGAGGACATATGAGCACAGATGGAGATGCACACTACCCACACCCAGATCCAAAAGCCTTACATAATGCCTACTAAACTGGGCTTGACGTATGATAGGCGTTGATTGGTTTATTTTTGAAAATGATTCGCTTATTATTTGGCTCAATTTTGCTCAAGATTATGATTTTTTTTCTTTGTCAGAAATGAGATTTGTGATAAAATATGAAGTGTTTTATATTTTACTTTATTTGTTTTGGGGGAAATTTCTTGCAGGATTATTTTGTCATTTTTTATTATGGTGTGTGTTTTTTATTTATCTTTTCAATGAAGTTTTCTGTTGTTTTGTGATTTAATGACTTTAATATGTGGGAAAATCCACTATACAATCTCTGTAGTGCTTTATACTTCATAAGTATGTAGTTTATCATCTATACTCTCTGAATAGAAAAACAAAGGACCGTTTACTTTTATGTTTGCATTCAGTGTAGTGTGACCCCCATACCCCTGTGTCTACAAACAGCTATTTTCTTGTGTGCCCTTTTTGAGACGCCATCATGAAGCAACATTCATATCTCTGTGACCTTTGTGTTGCATCTTCAGTCTTGACATTCCTGACCTGTATAAACGGCCCCTCAGCTGGCCCCCAAAGTCACAAAAACACACACAGAAACCCTGCTTAATGTAAGAACAGCCTCTTTGTCTGGAATCCCGAACGAAAGTGATGCACAGAGAGACAGAGTGAAGCCCTCATGACATAATTTTTCTGGTTTGGAAGGAAACTTCAAAGGGCACAGCTCATTTTTATGTTTGGTTTATGTGTAAGCTTTGCAGACTTATACAATGTTTTACTTAACCTTACTGTTTCTGTCACTGTTCATTATATTCATGTTACACATGTGGAAACTATGTGAAAACGTGCCTTTTTATTGTTAGATTTTTTTCCTTGTTCCATGTAGTTGTAGTGGTTTCTATACTTTTGCTTGTAAGACTTTTCAGGATTATGAATTCACTCAGTTTTAAAGTTATTCCCATAATGCACTATACTACGGTATACTGTATTATATTATGAACTACTCTATGATATTCTTTACTATATTCTATATGATATACATAGAAGGGTATACATTTATACCACTAGGGGAAAAATAGGCACACACCTATATTTTATTTATTTACTTGCTTAATTATTTATCTATTTATTTAGTTACATATTTGTGACCCTGGACCCCAAAACCAGTCATAAGGGTCAATTTTTTGGAATTGAATTTTGGAATTCTGAATAAATAAGCTTTCCATTGATGTATGGTTTGTTATGATAGGACAGTATTTGGCCGAGATACAACTATTTGAAAATCTGGAATCTGAGGGTGCAAAAAAAATCAAAATACTGAGAAAAACGCCTTTTAAATATGCCCAAATGAAGTTCTTAGCAATGCATATTACTAATCAAAAATTAAGTTTTAATATATTTGCCGTAGTAAATTTACAAAATATCTTCATGAAACATGATCTTTAATTAATATCCTAATGATTTTTGGCATTAAAGAAAAATCAATAATTTTGACCCATGCAATGTATTTTTGGCTATTGCTACAAATATACCCCAGCGACTTAAGACTGGTTTTGTGGTCCAAGGTCACATTTACTAATTAATTTATTTTTAATTAATAATTTTTTTTACTTATGTGTTTAATTACTTATTTACTTATTTTTACTTTATTTATATATTTATTTGTAATAATTGAATTTATTTTAGTATTTTTTTTACTTTCAGTATTTAGTAGGAAAGCAGTAGTTGTGTCAACATTAAGAAGTTAAATATTTTAAATAAAAAATTTAATTCTGCCATAGTATAGCTTCGCCATTTTGTACTGCACTGTATGTACTGTGCCTTAAACAATTTAGTTTATTTAATTTAGTAATCTAAATATGTTAGCAACACAAGCTCACAAAACAAGTGTAAACTGTTAGACGCAATTCACTTGTATTCTGAATCTTTTTTCAGACTGAAGCCTCTTGATATTGAGTTCATGAAGCGTCTTCATGACAAAGTCAATGTCATCCCCCTCATCGCCAAGGCTGATACTCTCACGCCAGAGGAGTGCCAGCTGTTCAAAAAACAGGTGTGTGTGTGTGTGTGTTAATGTGGGATTTTACATTTTTCAGGTGATGATTTGCATTTTACAATTTTTCTCAAGCACTACACATTCTACTGTTCTCTCATCATTAGATTATGAAGGAGATCCAGGAGCACAAAATCAAGATCTATGAGTTTCCTGACACAGAGGATGATGAGGACAGCAAACTGATCCGAAAGATAAAGGTAAAGAGTCAGTCCATTTGCTTAATACAAAGCACTAAAAGAAACAGTACATAGTCAGACGTACAGCAGATAATTACAGACAACATTAGTTTATTCATTGTGAACTAAAAATGAACATTTATATATAATTTGTGCATTTACATTTTATATATATACTTTTATTTTTATTTTTATAATTTGTAATTAATGATTGACAGTGAAAATCCTGAAGATCCTGTAAAAAATAGTTCATTGTTAGTTCTTATTTCCTAATGGATCAACTGTTAACGTATACAGTCTTATTATGAAACTTTACATAAATCTTACATTTTGAATCGGACAGCAGAAAAACAATAGGAAATGTTTTTGTCTAAAGTCTGTAATTATCCCAACAGCATCCACAATGTTGTTTGTTTCTCTAGGTTAGCTTGAGGTTATTATTGACCACATGCAAACTGCCACAGAACCAATTTAGTTGACAGACCCGTCTGTGGCTCTGAAGTTCAATGAGAATCTACGTCAGACCCCCTGTGTCTGTTCACTTTCACTGTGTGCGGTCGATACAGGCTCACTTAATTAACTGTGGTTTGTACCAACAGGAGAAGATGCCTCTGGCAGTGGTTGGTAGCAATGTGGTGATCGAAGTAAATGGCAGGAAGGTTAGAGGGCGTCAGTACCCCTGGGGTGTGGCAGAAGGTACGTGCTGCATCAGCATGACCCATCTGAGTTTGTTATGAGGACTGTACCGTTTCTAAAGAAAACAGGGGTGATCCAGTGCATGTGAAACAAGTGCATGGGCTTGCTGGACGATTTGTCTCTCAGGTCGAATGTTCAACCTGAGGGATTCTGGAAAAGGGAGGGTGACGAGGTGTAAGGTTTTCCAGAAAGAAAGATAGGCCCCAAATGACTTGTTGTGGTTTTACTTTCCCCACATTTCTTTCTTTACAAAGCTCTCCTCCCTGAAAACTTTTTCATTTGGATTTGTTGTTGTGTGGTGAGCGAGTGTCTTTTTTTTTTTTTTTCCTGATAATAATATATAATAAACGATTGAAAATATTTGTATAAAATATTTTTCCAAAAAAAAAAAATTTGTTTTTTCTAAATGACCACATGAAAAAAATATATATTCCATGATGAGTATATTTACAAATGTGGCATTATTAATAAGCAGCAATATTTACCTACAGATATTTTGTGACTCATAGATGAGGAGGGAACACAGAGCTAGTCTAATAAACATAAATGGCCAAATTAAAATTACCTAAATATTAATGATGTTTCTTAATTTGATTTGCCAACAAAATAATTGCAAATGCATCATAAATATTTGATATATCACCCAGCCCTACTCTTATGTTTAAACAAAACCTTGCATCCAGACATGCATGCCTCCCATTACTTATTTCCAACCCCCATTATGGATTTAAATACATTGAGGGGTACAAAATGTACCCCTGAGGTCAAAACATTTCTTTTCATCCTTTACATACATATTTTTTTTTATTATAGTACATTGACATCATCATTTATAATTGTTTCTGCCTCAGAACTCTGATGCAGGGTTGACTGAGTGCTAATATTTCCATTCTAACCTCTGGTCAACACTGTCCTAACATATGATGTAATGTAATATAAGGGACGCCGTTTTGGGGCACCATCTATACCTGTCAGCATCAGGAGTTTTCTGTCCCATCAAAGAGGAAATTACAAATCCCATGATCCCTTTAGACGTATGACTGCACCCCCTGCCCCTTCTCCTAGCTCCATTTGGCTGGTCTATCTGCTTGTCATCGCTATGCCATGTAACCCCTCCAACAACACACCATTTTTAGTTGTAGTAGCCCATGAATCACAGGTTGAGTGGGGGTTCCCACAGAAGTGACTTTAGTCCCGCTCCTCCAACTGCTCTCTCACAGGTAGGTGGTTGTAGCAGATGATTGACACATGGGGTGGTCAGTCAGCATGAGTTCTCCTTGTAGGTAAGATGCTCGCTTGGTAAAGCATCGTAGGGCTCTTATAACTGCTGTAACGGTGCAGAAGATGTTTCATCCTTTAACCATCTTTCAAAAAACAGTGTCTCTGGTCCTTTTCCAGAATACCATGTGATGACAACGATGTTTGATCATACATACCTGTGTATGATCACATAACAGCGATTATGTGAACTGCTAACCTGCTGTTTATTTTTGTTTCGATGTCTAATTACTAAATTGTGTTTTTCTTTTAATTGACAACCGCCTGACCCGTGTCTCTTGATTTTTCATTTGTCTGATATTGATTAATTTTGTGCAACCTCATTGTCTGATCCTGTTTGCTTTTAAATGTAGAATTTGCCACTGTATTATGTTTGTTTTTAAAAATATTTTTTTTAAATGAGGGATGCACTGATTAAAATTCTCTCTTGATATGATAGGCCCAATAATTATTTTCTTGTTTAAAATGCTACAACCACAACATTATAATAAAAATTATTCATTATTTTCATGTTATGGCCGATAAAATAATGACCGATAATTCTATACAATTTTGTCTAAATAAATTAAGAATAAATACTAAAAAAAACTTAAATAAATTGTTTAAAATGCTACAAGTAAATTTAGCCATCACAATAACATTATCTTATACAGTATGAGTTTTAAGATGTACTAAAAACGCAAAAGTTATCTAAATGTAAAAATAGGGGAAATGAGCCTCAAAATAACATTTCCAATATTGACTGATACTGGCGAATCATAAAACATCAGCCGATAACTGATATGGTATTGATATATCATGCATCCCTATTAAAAAATTTTTTTGATGTCATCTTTAATCAAAATAGAGGTCCAATCTCATATTAAGTGTCTATCATAACTGCATACATCCACAAAAATAATGCATTTTCCATGCCAACTTTTATTGTTACACTTAACAGTTTTAAAGCATTCTATGTTGTAGTCCTACACGTGAATATGCAAGTAGTGCCTACTTTTCTTTTTAATTAAGATGTATTTTGGGATTTTAAATGAAATCTGAAAAATTTAATGAATTCATTCTGATATTATTGATATATCATGCATCCCTATTAAAAATTTTTTTTGATGTCATCTTTAATCAAAATAGAGGTCCAATCTCATATTAAGTGTCTATCATAGCTGCATACATCCACAAAAATAATGCATTTTCCATGCCAACTTTTATTGTTACACTTAACAGTTTTAAAGCATTCTATGTTGTAGTCCTACACATGAATATGCAAGTAGTGCCTACTTTTCTTTTTAATTAAGATGTATTTTGGGATTTTAAATGAAATCTGAAAAATTTAATGAATTCATTCTGATATTATTGAGCTAAAACATCCATTTCTTCCCGTTTCAGTGGAGAACGGTGAGCACTGTGACTTCACAGTCCTGAGGAATATGCTCATCAGGTAAGAAACAACGTTACGTGAGATAACTGTGCTTTAACACTTTGTCCTCCTAACCAGGCACGACCTGACAACAAATACTGAAAATATCGAGAACTTTTATTTTCTGAAAAACTGAATTGGAGTTTTGATCAAAGTTTAACCTGTCATGAAACAATCCGTTCCAGGACTCACATGCAGGACCTGAAGGACGTGACCAATAATGTTCACTATGAAAACTACCGGAGTAAGAAACTAGCAGCCGTGACCTGCAACGGGGTCGACGCCACCAAGAACAAGGGCCAGCTCACAAAGTACGAGAACAGTTCTATTTTTAGCTAAAAAGTCTTGTCTTCAAGACATAGTTCACCCAAAAATACAAATTTGCTCAAAGTTTACTCGCCCTCAGGCTATCCAGGATGTAGATGAGTTTGTTTCTTCCTCATGAACAGGTTTGGAGAAATTTACCAATGGATCCTCTGCAATGAATAGGTGCTGTCAGAATGATAGTTCATAAAAACATCACGATAATCCACAAGCGATGATCCACGTCCATCTATTAACATGTGTATCAAAAAGCTCCATGTTTGTATGAAACAAATCCATCAAGACAATTTTAAACTTAAACTGTTGTTTACAGCTAAAATACGAGTCCTCTATCCATAATATTGCTTTATCCAATGTGGATTCTTGTGTTTTTATCAACTGTTTAGACTCTCATTCTGACGGCACCCATTCACTGCAGAGGATCCATTGATGAGCAAGTGATGTAATGCTAAATTTCTCCAAATCTGATACAATTGTTGCAATGTCTCTCTTGTAGGAGTCCCCTGGCCCAGATGGAGGAGGAGAGGAGGGAGCATGTGATGAAGATGAAGAAGATGGAAACAGAGATGGAGCAGGTCTTTGAGATGAAGGTCAAAGAAAAGAAGCAAAAGCTGAAGGACTCTGAGGCAGAGGTGTGTATGCGAGGACACTTGTGTTTGGTTTCTAGTTCCAAATAACATTTTTTTTTTTTTTTAA